CTGATTAATTCCAGGGGATGTGATCAGGATGTGGGCTTCCCTTTTCACTCTTCTTATTTCTTAACTCAGAGTAACTTTCACAGGTATTGTCTGCCTCCCTGGTATATGGCAGTTGGTACTGGCTCTTGCCTGGGTTTTGGTGTTTCATAGAGTGTGATTGTAGCTTCACTATATGGCAGCAGTTGCTGTCTCTACTTGGGTAATATAGAGAGATAAAGAGTCCCCCAAAAGGAGAAGGGGGAGCATAAAACAGTAAAACAACACCAGCAAAACAACAAACAACAACAACAACACAACAAAACCAGACTGCATACTGCAGTCTATAATCTCAGAAAGGGGAGAGGAGGAAGAGAAGAAAAGAAAAACTAAAATTAAAAAAAAATATATCTGTAGCCTAATATCAGTATGACTTTAATGTCGTCTCTTCAGCTTCTTGCTTTCAAAGCTGCCTTGAGAGACTTCAAGATGCCAGTGTTGGTTGTTTTGCTATACCTCAGGCTTTAATTTAATTTATGGTCTGTTTTGTTTTTAAACTCTCTTTCCCTCTCTATAGCCCTGTCCTGGCTTTTTCCGTATTTCTAAAACAACAAAATGTTCAGGGCCTGTTCTTGGACTGAGTATCTGTGCACATGCGTGGCAGAAGAACCCACCAGTGGTGAGGGTGGGGGATGTCAACTCACTCAGATAACCCCTCTAGTCACCAGAATGGAGGTACACAAACAGTGAGGGGGCAAAAGAAAAAGGAAATCAGAACAAAGCAAAACCAACAATGTGTATTGTTCACCTTTGCTCCAAGGTTCCTGTGGTGTTTTTCTGTGGTTTTTGTTCCCTCTCTTGGCGTTGCCATTTGGTCTCGCCCAAGATGTTGGCTCCAGGTCTCTGAGCCCGGCAGATTCAAAAGTACATGATTTCTTATTTCAGCTTCAAGTTCCACTAGCTATAAGCCTTCAAATTTTTGAAATATTCCTAGTTATGTGGTCCAGCGGTTCCGCGGAAGAAAGATGAGGCGTTCTGCTCCCGTAAAGATTTACAGCCTCGGAAACCCTGTGCAGGGTCGCTATGAGTTGGAACTGACGCCACGGCACTTAACAACAATGTGGTTCCGAGTTTTGGAGCTCTGCCCTGGATCTACTTTGCCTGGTATTCTGTGATATGGCTGATGGCGAACTGCACTGCACCCCCACCCTAGCCACCATCAAGCCCCACCTCCTCTGATTGAAGAACTGGAGTATATTTTTTAACTAACTTTTTAAGGTTTTTTTTTTTTTTTTTCCCCTTGAAACTTTGATTATACTGATATGCAATTAATCTGTTATTAACCATATATAGAACATGTGTTCTATATCCTTGCTGTTCAAAGTGTGGTCTATGAACTGGCTGTTTCAGCCAGCTTGTTTGAAACCAGAGTCTCAGCCACTCTAGAACTACTGAATCTGATCTGAATTCCTAGTTGTCTCAGATAGTTCCCGTTTCTTCCTATCGCAAACAGTGCAGTAACACTTTTTAAAAACACTTGGTCTCTAATGCCTTCATGGGCCCTTCTGTGGCGCTTCTTTCCCTCTTTTTTTCCGTTTGGAGAGTCCCCTTTCTGTAGTGGGCATGCCCATGGTTCAGTCCCTGACCTCTGCTCACCTCCATCAGTTTTCTTCAGGGAACTGCCGTAGTCTAAACTTCAAAAGGCGTCACTGGCCAAATGTGTACTGAGTCACTGATCTGGCTTTGAACTTTTTCTACCAGCTTTGTTGAACTTTGCCACGGTATTAAGAAAGACATTATTTCCTGGAAATGGTCCATTTTCTCTCAGAAATCTGTTTCTGACCTCACATTCTCTTTCTTTTGCTTCCTGTGAAGTCCTTGGACCTCACAACTGGAGTACTGTTGAAGATGCCTACCTGGTTTTGTTGCATTCAGCCTTTTTCCTGTACATTATCTGTCACAATGTTGCCCAGCTTTCAGAAAACAAACCAAAACTTTCCTTTCCTAGTGTTCTCCTGCTCAAACGCAGAATAATCTCCCATTGTTTTTGTTGTTGTTAAGTGCGGTAGAGTCGATTCTGACCCACAGTGACCCCTATAGAGTTTCCAAGGAGGAGCTGGTGAGCTTGAACCACCGACCTTGCAGTTCAAATGACTTTGCTGTCTGATGCAGTAACCCACAGCGCCACACCAGGATTCCCATTACCTTGGAAAAAAGCTCAGAATTCTAACCATATAATTCAGAGTTGATTATAGCTTGTCCTTGATATTCCTTTGAAATGATTGTTAATTATAAATATTGTACACATTTTGAATATAACCTAACAAATTCTCTACCTATCACCCAGATTAAACCAGTAGTAACATTTCCCTCATACTTACTTTGATTCTTTTTCTCTGTGTAATTCACCAAATTAACAGTACAGCCAAAGGCTGGTCGCCGCTTCTAAGTTTGTCCTCCCTCTTTCAGGAACAATCATGCTCCTGTTAACTTATCTCTCACAACTCATCTATCAGAACTGCTTGGACCTCTGAGATTTACTTTCTCCCTGGAATCTCATTTTTCCTGCTTTTTCCTTTGAGGCACAGAATGCTTTATATCTCTTCTGTTGGGAGCTGCTGAGCGGAGATCACTCCTCACCTCAGGGGTCCAGCAAAAGTTGGCCTGAGGGTGTCTGCCTGGGCAAAAGTCCACAGCACAAGGAAGAAGTGACCTTTAGCTCAGTGCACTATAGAGCTAGTCAGTAGGAAAGCATGCAAACCTTTCTGCTTGCCCACACAAATGGCAGACCTGTTCTAGCAATTGTTTTGTCCTGGTTGTTCTGGGATAATTGCTCTGTGTACCCGGAACCAGGACTGCCCTGGAGAAACTCTCCCTTTCCTGCTTTTGAGCACTATATAATAAAACAAGCTACCAGGAGTCCTGGCTGCTCGATCCTCCATCAGAGGTCGACAGCCCACCTGGCCCAACTTTAGTCTTAATCTCGTCTCTGTTGTTTTCTTTTAATCTCCCATTGCTCTACTTGACAGCTTTACAGGTGTGCAGTCTGCAGTACTTTCCCTACCATTTCCTTGCTTTCCAAAATGCCACAGATGTGACCATCTCCATTGGTCCGTTGGAGACATTCTGCCTCTGAGAGTGTTTATGTAGTAATTTTCTCTTAGTATGTAGTTTCTATTCCTCTTATAGTAATTGTTTTTCGTCTTGCTTTCTACTCTAGTTGCTTGTCTGAATGTATTTCTTCTCCATTAGATAACAGCCTCCTTGAATAAAAGCTTGAGATACATTTTATTCATTCCTTCCTTCCTTCATCCATCTGTCCTACAGCTAATGACTGAGTGTCTACTAACAAGCTCCAGAAGTTATTTTAAGCATTTGGGAGATAGAAGTGAACCAAACAGATAGTTATTGACCTCGTGGCACTTATATTCCAAAAGGGGGAGAGAAAAAAATTACATGAATAAATGACTATATCAAGTGCAAATAGCGCTAAAGAGAAAAACGAAGCAAGCAAAAGTCTAAAATGTAAGGGGCACTTCTTTAGACAGAATTTAATTGTATACATGTTCTATACACTCTAGCTCAATGCTATATGCACAAGGCAGTCAGCAAATATTTGTTGAATTGCAAAATATATTCATATACAGAATATTTGATTACCTGCCTGGGAAATAGTACCCTGGGTAGACCATCCTTCTCAGAAGGTGGTTGTTAAGAACAACAGTTTTAATCTTTTGCTGCAGGGATCCCATCTGAGTTGTTCCTTCCCTCTGTCAGTAGATGTGCACTCTGGGAATATAACAAATTTCAATACTAGCTTCAGTAAAAAGTAATTAGGGAGGAGAATCTATTTTCAGTACCACAATCATTTCTTACTCAAAGGGCACAACCTTCCCCACTGCTCTTCTTCAGCCATTTGACTGGGTGGGGTTCCCTGTTCACACTGTTCCTATTCTTACCAATTGTGGTGCCCAGCTGTAGTTGCCAATGTTTTCTTTTTAATTCTTCCAGCCTCCAGGAAAGGATGAAATCCCTCAACTTGTGCCTTAAAGAAATTACTGCTAAGGTAAGTACTTTTATACTTCCACTTGAAAAACGTGAACATTACTTTTGATTTAGTTTCATACCTAAATCACAGAGCCCCTGACCCCTGTATGAGATGTCAACTTTGAAGAGGCAAGCACCAGGGCTGCTCCCAGAAATGGATGGGTTGGTTTGGGGTTTTACTTCAGAGAGAACTGTCAATTTTAACAAATGGGAAGAAACTACAGCTGTGCACAATTGAATGCCTTTGCTTCCAAAGAATTTTGGGATGATAGAATTATAAGATACTAATTTCTTTTCCTTCCAAGAAAGCAGGTTTTCCATTCCTCATAAATAAGGAAATGGTGTAGAAAATGATGGATTTTGTTTCTCAGTGTTTTTCTTTTGACTTGAGAATCATTTTACCTGTTTCATCTGCCATTCATCCATCCACACAGGACCCTGTTTTGTGTAGAGATAAGACATGTCTTATTTATTCATATATTGAAATTACATAGTTAATGTCCTGGTCAGTTATAATAACCTCAGTTAGCCAAACAAAATCTTCCCTGTACGTCAGACTGAGTTACTGTGAAGTAGAGTCTGTTACTCTGAGTTATTGCAACCATGCTATTTTTTTTTTGGCAACAAGCTGAGCATGGACTGTAAGTTATTTGCATTAACGCTTGGGACCAAAGGTTTCCAGATAAGATAGTGCATTTTTAATCTAGTGCTGCTACAACAGAAATGCCACATGGGGATGTCTTTAACAAACAGAAATTTACACTCTCACAGCTAGAAGGCGGAATTTAGAATGCCTGCTCTAGGAGAGGGTTTGTTCTCCCTGTAAGCTCTGGAGGAAGCTCGTTAGCTTCTTCCCACATCTGTAGCCTGGCATTCCATCGAGAGCTACATATGGCCTTGTATCACTCTTCCCTGGAGTCTAGGAGTTTCTCAGTGCAGGCTCCATAGGCTAAAGGATATACTCCACTCCGAAGCTCTTGGTGGTAGTAGGTCCCTCTGATCTCAGCTTGATTCTCTCTTCTTTTATGTCCCATAAGAAAGAAATGTACTGCAGGCCATGCCCCAGGGACCTCCTCATTATATTAGATCAGGGCTGTGATGCCATTAAGGGTGTTGCAGCTCATCCTTATTAATCTATTAACTGGTTTGTCACATCAAAGCACTTCATGGAAGAGCATATCATGGGAGATCATTATATAACTGCACTATTACATATTAGATAACTGCACTATTGCATATTTATATAGCTGCACTCTTACATCATTACATAACTGAGCTATTACATCATTTATATAACTGCACTCTTACATCATTACATAACTATGAAACCAGAGACCCATGGGCCAACCACGTTGGCACACATTTGTGGGGGAGAGAAGGTGAGGACACAATTAAATCCATGATGACTTGGTCAAAATGCAAAAACAACAGGTTGCCGACCAGAGGGCAAAGCAGCTGAGTGCCCCCTGGTCATAGCTCCCAGATCAGGTAGACATGCTATGTTTACACAGCCAGCTAGACTTAAATTGGGGATGGATTGTTGGCAAAAAGTGTTGACAGTTACTCGAGCTGTTTTCTCTTTTACCTAAAAAATGCTGAACCAGTTCTCAATGATTTTCTGAAAATCACAGACAGTTCGCTTTATTTTTTAAACTCTATTAAAGAGCTTTATCTTTATCAGGCGCCAGCTTCATGACTGTCTCCCATTGATTTGATGATTCCCTTGGGCTCCAAGAGGGTTTGGTGGGGGTGGTGCTGGTGGTGGGGTTGTGGCAGCTTTCAGGACAGCCCCCTTCTCCACCACAGGGACTGTTGTTGTTGGTTGCCTGTTGCTGTCAAGTTGTGTTGCAGAGCAGAACTGCTCCATAGAATTGATGTGCCAGTAAATTTGATGGGTAATTATTCCCTGTGTCTTTAGCTGACTTCTCTAGAGAAGCAAAACTAGTGTGACTTTTACATATAGAAGGGGGAGGGGAGGGAGAAATAGACTGTGTGTGTGTGTGTGTGTGTGTGTGTCCTGGTGGGGTGCTGCAGGATAATGCACTGAATCGCAAGGTTGCTTTGTATCACAAGGTTGCAAGGTTGGCAGAAAGATTATATAGGGTCACTATGAGCTGCAATTGACTTGACCGCACTTAACAATATATATATATATATCTCCTGGTGTAGTGCCGTGGATTAGTATGCTACACTGGAAAGTCAGTTTGAACCACATAGTTGGTGGTTCACTCACTAGCCACTTCTTGGAAACCCTTTACAGGGTCGCTGTGGGTCGGAACTGACTCGATGGCACTCAACAACAAATTATACACATATAAAGAGAAGTTTATATTAAGGCAATGGCTCACAGTTGTAGATACAGGAGAGTCCTAAGCGAAGACCTGGCAAACCAAGATCGGTAGGCAGACCTCGAAGGCAGGAATCCTAAGTTGAGGTACAGAGCTTGACCTCGGCACTGGATCCGGGTGGCAGCAGGGTGACGGGTGACCAAGGCCTGGGGAGATGCACTCAGAATGGGCAGAGAGCACACGCACTGGGTGACAGGAACAGGAATGCAGGGCCCCCTGGTGGGTGTCTAGTTTTCCAGGCACACTCAGCAGGCAGGCCCAGCAGGCAGACACTCAATAGAGCAGGCCACTGGCTCAGGTTCAAAGAACCAGAGGTTAGAGGGAGACCCAGATGGGAGATCCAGACCCAGTGGGGATGAGTCAGAGTCTTTCCTTCATGTCCATTTTATTGGCAGTAGGCCACACCCCCATGGACGCATCTGTTCAACTGATTGGCTGCTCATAGCCAATCATCACAGAGTTAACTATCAACTGCCAAACAACTGGGAAGCCTGGCTCAATCAGCTGACATAGAATCTTAACTATTACACTCTGCAAGAAGAACTTACTCCCATTAGGAATAAGAGTGAGCTTTGGTATTCCGATGGTGGTGTGACCAGGGACCTGGGAATGCTTGACACCTGTTCTGCCCCTGAGAGCCTCCTAAAAGTATTCACCCAGAGAATAAGAGCAGGATGAGAAGCAAAGTGCCACTGACTCAGAGCAGGGTGAGGACCCGGCTCCCCTTACAGAACTCCAGTAAGGGACTGTGCAGAGCAGAACGGATACTCCCTTTCTCCTTCCTCGTAAAGCTGCATCTTAGGCCCTTGCTTGCCCTTCTCAACTTCGGGGACAAGGGAGACTGTGACTTTATCAATTTTGTTCTAGGATGCAGGAGAAGTATTAGAGAGCAAAGTCTGCATTTCTACCTTCAGAGTCACGATGATGCTGTTCACAAGTGCTCATAACCCTGCCAATGCCAGTGTCCTGACCTTTAGGTTAGAGAAAGATGGTAGTGGGATTCCTCCCCTCTTTTTTCTACTGTAAATATGTGCTGCTTATATTTTTATCAAGTATGGAATTAAAAAGTAGGAGGACTATTTTGAATTTGGGTTGGATGATATCTTGAGAACGTACTCTGTGTAATATGAGTAGGTCTATAAACTTGCAGTGAGTATACAGGTGCATATATTATATAAGAGGAACACAGTCACTCTGTAGGATAAACACTAGACTTTGAACCACAAGGTTGCTTGTTCAAGCCTAGTAGTCACTCTGCTGGAGAAAGGTGAAGCTTACTGCTCCCACCAAGAGTTACAACCTCAGAAACCCTATACAGGGTCTTTATGAGTTGGAATGGTCTCAGTGGTACTTAACATACAACAAAATATTATAGGACATATATGGTGTATGTATGTATATATATATTTTATATGATATTCTGTATTGTGCACATGCACATATATCTCATATACACACAGTATTGGGATTTTTTGACAGCCTCCAGCTTCTGTTAAAGATCTGTAGATTTTCCCAAACAACAAAAGTGATTTGTTTTGCTTCCATTTTTTTAATGCATTTACAAAAATATTGTTATCATTTTATATCTCCATAAGATTAAGGGACTCATATCTTAAAATTTAAAATGTAAATGTTAAAACTTCATTTAGCAACAGGTTACTCAGGGTTCAATTTTATTTGAAAACAAAATTCTCTATTTGGAAGATTATTTGGGGTGTGCATGTGTGCCTCTCAGTAGCTATGTCCTTGGGCACGCACATAAGTGTGTGAATCAGCTAGAGAGGGATAGGAAGAGAAAGAGATAAAGAACAGATGCTGAGATTATAGTCCACAAAGAATTAAAACAAAACCACCCAATTATGCAAAAAATCAAAACCAGCTTTCTCTGTACTCTGGACAGGACTGACCAGTAAGTTTGAGGAGAAAGGCTTAGCTTGGGCCAGCTTTCTTTCTTTGTTGTTGTTGTTGTTAAGTGCCGTCGAGTCGATTCCAACCCATAGCGACCCTGTATAGGTCAGCTTGAACCACCGACCTCGCAGTTCAAACAGCTTTGCAGTCTGGCACATTAACCCACAGCGCCACACCAGGACTCCTTTAGTGCATCTGATATTTAGATCTGATATACAGAGCCTTCCTTCCACTCATTTTATTTCTTTGAGTTGGGTTACCCAAAATAATGTCATTAAGGGATAAATGAGATGAAAGAAATAGTTGGAAATAAATGAGATATCTGGAGATGGGTAGCTTTTAGATTACATCCAGCAGTGCCTGAAAGAATATACATTGCAATTTAATAAGATTTCTAAAGGTTCTTTTATATTAATAGTGACAACTTGAAGGATAGATTTGCCCAACAAAGGAGAAACTCAACCAGTTAGGATTAACAGATACTGTTAACTAAAATCAGAAATACTTAACATAAATTGGATGAGACATAAGAATTATGGCTGGTGTTACAGAGTGAATGGAAAGGTCTATAGTCTTCCAATGGTACCCTTGGATGAATGCAATGACATGGCATTGAATCAACCCGAGACACAGTGCTGGAGGGATGGTGTCCAGAGTGTTTTCCATCTAACTTCCATTTCGGACACACTGTCAGATCTCAGGACTGTTGAAAGCATCTCCAAATGAATCACTTGGACATGTAAACACTCAGTACCACTGGTGC